TTTGACGTCATTTATACCTGGAGCTGTGCTCCAATGCCCATGTTAACCAAGCTGTCTGCAAAACATTTTTTTTTCTTGGGACATTCTGTTATGTTAAAATCAATGCTTTCAAAAACAGGAATTGCAACATCTCTGTACTGCTGGTTCTTAACTCTGCTCAGTATTGCTCTTTGTAAGGGAACTTCTACTTGTATTTTAAAGATACAGCACTATTTCTGTACATGATTAATTAAAAAAGCTTCCTTGTTCGGAGTTAAATCCTACAAGCCTTTTGCAAATAAACTTTTATAATTCTGTTGTGATCCACTGGAAGGTTTTCAACACTAAAGCTACTCAGATTTCATCCACATCTGTGTCCCTTTGAAGACGTTAAAGCCTTTTCTGTGCAGAGCTGATCTATTGTGTACAGGGCGTATTATGAGGGCGCAGTCCCACAGGTTTCCCATATACTTGTGGGAGGACAACCATCGATTTATTGTACCAAGAAATGTCAGGTGTATTGGTGTAGCCTTCCAGAAGCATTTCTCTTGGGAGATTTTGAAGTCACTGCTCAGTTATCCATGTTCTCAGCCAGTTCAGGTTATTTTCGGTTGAATTCTACTACCCAGGTTTTATTTTCAATATTGATTTGAACCTATTTCTCAAAATATCCTTTAATGAAGATGCCAGTTCAACAGGACATGGACTTTCTCGCATACACACAAAACAAAAGTCCACAAAGTCAGAAGGTGTGGTTGGCAGGTTGAGTCTGGCTCCCTTGGTGCTGGTCTGCCCAGAGCAGAGCAAGATGAAGCAGTGGAGATGAGCTGGCAGAAGCCGCGCCGTGCAGTCATACCCTGCTGAAGGCTCAAAAAACCCCCAGGCAATCACATGGTACAATGTGAATCGAAAAAAAAAAAAAAAAGGCTCTTCCCACCCAAGGACAACTGATTTCTGGTGCAGCCCTTTCTATCACTGCAGCTTGTTGACTTACATTCTAAAGAAATAACATAAACCTATCTTGTAAATTATTTTTGAAAAAAATATACCATCTTTAAGCACAGTTTCCAGTTACCTCAGTCACCATGACTTCATCTGTACATTTTTCGTGAAAGGAACATCACACTCCTTGCAAGAATCACCTGAGATTAAGGTGTGAAGCAAAGAATTATGGCACAATAAATAGCAGCGAACTGGTTTGTCAAGGCAACGGTTCAAGTACCTGTTACCAAAAAACTGTTTTTCCTTTAAGTCATGCAGTCATTCAAACTGGCCTACATAGCTGGAAAGCATAAAAATTTGTTCCACAGAAACCACCAGGTTAAGAAGCCCTTCAGAAGCGCTGATATTTTTGGGTAGATTTTCAGCTCTGACTTTGTTGAATTACACTTCACACTGTTAACACGTCTCACCCGCAGAATATAGCACTAAAAAATTAACTTTTAAAAATCCGCAGAACTGTGCAGTTTTTTTTCCATGCATTTGGCTCTATTTAAACTTCAAATTAGTTTATTGACTCAGTTCATTAATTATTATTTTCTATTTCTCTTAAAATTAGCAAGGCATCACTTGCTGCAGGCAGTAGTTCGCTCATTTTGCTAAGATGGCGTACCTGGTGTATCACAGGAGCACTTCTCAGCGTTCATGCCTCCCCTTTGAGTAAGCCTCACCGCCTCTGTGAGTTTATCATTAACTTTACAATGGTCAGAGGGAATCTCTCTGCCCCAAGGGTGGGATTTGTCCAAAAGGGGTACGGCAGCCCTACTACTTGCCACTGAAGTTCAGATGCCACGTTTATGAATTTTTTACATCTATTGAAGTTCTAAAGTTATTAGCTCATTTTCACAAAACGTGAACAGAGCATGCTGAATTGAAAAAAATTACTTTTTTTTTTTCTTCCTGAACATTTTGATGGCAGACAGGTTTGTGGATGGGGTGTGCTTTGAGAACTATTTCTTTAGTTGTTTTCTGGGAATTCTTAATCCACGTTTGAAACGGCCACTTCAAAGAAAATATGATCATGCCTAAAAGCAATACGCTTAGTGTGACTTCATAAACAATCCTGCAGCTGTAGGTAAAAGAAATTAAACGGAAAGATTTAAGAGCCAAAAGAAAAGCCACAACACGCATGATAATTAAACATCTTAAATGGGCTCGGTTTGGCCTAAAACCAGCATTAAAGCACGATCAGTAAGTTAAACTGTTCTTTAAGCGACAGGACAAAACCCTTGCACACCATCTTTCCTCACAAAAGTTTATGAACGTAATACAACCTGAGAGAAAACATTATCCTCTTCTAGCATTTTAGGCAGCGATAATACAACTTTAAACTATTAACTGGTAGAACAGGTTGATAATTATGTGAGCTACCAGTATCTTTGTAATCCTCTCCAGCTTTGATTTCAAGACTCTTGCTAACTCCAGCTTCTCAAATCCATCCATGTCTCCTTGTTTCTTCTGACATGGCTTGCTGCAGCACAGCTGCTGCCAGCACCCATCCTCCTCACCTTTCTTCGTACACTAGCTACCACCGGTATTTTCAAAATTTTTTGTAAACAGCTGCTTAATCTCCTGCCACATTATCCTTTTCTTTCTTTATTCAATTAATATAAGGAGAACTTTATGATCCTTTTGTAATGGCGACCTAGACAAAATTGTAAAATCAAATTACCCTAAATTATATTAAAACAGCAGGCTCAGTGTGCGATGCCAGCAGCATCGAGGAACAGAAGTAAACAACTACTGAGCTATGGGCAAGGTCTGCAGGTGAATCACTTTTGCTTTTTGACTAGGACTCATGTAGTTATCAAGAAATTCTCTCTGGCTCATAAAATCAAATATTCTCAGGCTTTATCTCTTAGGTTAATCTTCTGTCTAGATTTTAGTTATCCTGTACATTAATATGTTCATTATTTTAAAGTATTGTGCTTAGACATTTCCTATTGTGTAAGAGCAATAACCCAGACAAAAAAAGTCTTAAGTCATTGTGTCGGATAGAATTTGATTAAAATAGTTACCGACCATTAAATAGACCTATATTTTCATTTAATAATAAGGGATTTAATGCAAGATATTGTTTAACATGTTTTATACTCCAGTCTAAAAGAAATTGATGAGGTAATGCTAGCAGACAGCTTGAGAAAAGTCAAGGATACCGGGACATTCCAAAAATCTTACTGTCTCCCGAGAACATTTTTTAACACTGACATCAACCATCTAATAAAATCTGAATCCAGCAGAGGTCTTGTGAATGCATTCGAAGTAATTTGATGCAAAATTATCTCCAAGACAGACGAAGTAGGAAAAAACTAAGAGTTTTGGCTCAAAGATTTGCAGGAGAGCGAACCTTTGGAAATACAGCTGACCTAGTAGCAGTGCTGATCAAAAGTTAGCAGTAAATTGTCTGGTGTGGTTGATACTAAGAACAGCTAAACTAATGATGGTTTAAAAGTAGCCACATTTCTCTCTCTTTTTTTTAAAATTCAAAGCAAAAAAATAATTTTGACATTTGTTACAAACCAGACATCCAATCAGAAGATCAGCAAGTAATAAAGTCAGGATTTGTTTCATTAGTGAAATGCCCTAGAATGTTTCTTCTGACACTCCTTTTTCTTTGTATAGCATTACTGCTTCAAGTGTACATATTTTAAAATTAATTATTTCCAGACGTTCCTCCCCTGAAACTGTTCATGAGGAGTGTGGCTTTTTGGATTTTATGTGAAAATAGTTACTACAGTTTGGATAGCAAAGTGTCACTCAGTTTGCCCCATATAACAAGTGAAAGACCTTGGAAAAGTAGAAACACCTTAGAACTTATTTTATGGATCCATATCAGGTATTTAGCTTAAAAAAAAACCCTAACAACAAAACAAACAAACACCAAAAAAGCCCAAACCCACAACAATAAGGCTTTCTATTTAAACGTTAAGAGACTCGCATTTAAAACTTTAAACCTGTACCCTTGACATTAATCTGCTCAGAGTACTGAAACCTGCTTTCCCCCCGCAAGAACACAACTGTTCCGTTGAACAATTAAGCATGAATTTTTGATGAAATCCATATGATTTGATCTAGTTGCCTACATTTAAATTAAGTTGCACACTTTGTTTGCATCCAAGCAGTTTATGAAACTTCTGCATGGTTAGAGAGGGACGGCTGCGATCTTACGTGCTGGATTACAAGGCAGGAAAAGTTAACATCAACAATGGATTTTAAAATTACACAAAATTTCATGACTGAACAGGTAGTTATGAAGCAAAAATCTAACACTTCATCATCAGTGGCCAATCTTCATTCAAACCCACTGAGGCAACATCTGAGTATGTTGCTTTAACTGTCTTTCGCTGCCCCCCAACTATTATTAGCTGGGTTTTTGCTTAGTTTTCTTGTTTTAAGCTGAGATTTTCACTTAAAAAGTAAAATAGTAATCAATTACTAAAGAACTCAGTCTAAAAAAAACTTTCTCAAAATGGGAACAGTTTACCCGTGAAAACGGTCATTTCTCCTATGAAAAAAACAAGTTTAATAGAATGGAGATGTAACTCTACACACCAAATTTCTCACTGGCATTTTATGAGACATTTAATATTTTAAATGTATAAGGTAGTGCAAATTATGGAAGATGCTTGTTGTCATCTTGGGAAACTGCATAAATCACAACAGTTCTTTCATTTTTTCTCATAGGATCACACAACAACATTGAAGAAAGTCCACAAAAAACTAGTCTATTTGCAGCTAAAGGTGAAGCAATCTATAATTATAACGAGCTGTGTCACATTTCTGGGTGACAGTTAACCATCGGTACTATATGCTCAGGCCATCTGACCTTTCGTGCTGTCACGTTTCTTGAGGTACTTGAAGACCTTGAAGTGAGGACTGAAGTTGCAAATAAGACCTAAATCATGTGTTGGCCAAAGCTTGCACTTCGAAGCAAAGCACAATTTTCAGCACATCTAATTTGACTCCTCCAGGATTTTTCCACTTAACGAGTGAAGGTATTACTGTGTTAAAGAATTACTCACCCGATTAGGGACACCATCTGCTCCACTATATGTTTGCTGAATGTTATAATAACAAAAAGTTTCTGTAGGAAGGAAAACATCAGTTAGAGAAACGTTTGATCAAAAGGGAAGCATGACAATGGGGTACGACCATTTATGTTCCTTTCCAACCAGACAGCTTCTCCAGCACTCACACATAGTTTTCCCTTCTCTTTTCTTTCAAGATCTTTATTTTGCGATACTCTCCTCAAAAAGAGGCAGGAGAGAGAAAAGCTGTTTACTTTATTATTCTATTTCCTCATAGATTTCATTTCTTGCCATGTTTTTGTAGCCTGTGTTACTAACCATTCGCATCCTCCCCAAACTTAAATTCCCAGAAGCTCAAGGTCACTTTACTCCGTCAACAATGTTTTAATGGAAAAACAGTCATCACCGTGCAGAAAAATTCACATCCCCTTCCACAAACACATATACTTAAAGATCACAGAAGCGAAAAATAATGTAACTTTTAGTCCCCTAGTTTATGTACTTCAGACAGAAATATAACAAAAAATACTTAGTGAAGAACAAAGTAAAAGCCATTGGGTACCTGTCTGTTCAAAAAAACTTAAGATTGTCACGGTCTCTAATGCAACAGGATATTTGGAACACAGTCATTTCAGTAAGAGAAACTTCTGTAACACATAGTTATTTCGTAGAAAATCCAAATGTCCGTAATTTTACCGCTCCCTTCTCTTCTAACACAAGTTAAAATTTTGTTAAAATAGCCTTTTCTAATTCCCCTTTTGTCATATTTGACAGCTTGTTCATTTGTAAAGAGTGAGCAAGACAGTGTGTAGATGCGTATACACACACAAACAGTTCCCACAGTGTCCTTAAATCCATTTAAACATGATCTAATGAGAACTGCATTGACTAGTCTGGAAATAAGGGATGTGACTAGAAGTACATAAAATGATTTTGTGGTCTGCAGGAAGAGGCCAGTTAAAAGTGGCTCCAGGATGGTCACTGCACCAGAGTTACTCGCTTCCTGTCTAGAGAAAGATTTCATTAAAAGCCTTTTCCATGACTCTTACATTTCCTAAATTCCACGTTGCAGCAAGATCACTACGAAAATCAAGGCTATTGCACAAGAGTATGCTTGAAATCAAGCATCGCAGAAAAAGGAATTCTAATAGCTAAACGTATTACAAAATAAGATGATTTACCAACTGTACAAGACACTGAGAAATATTTTTTCACTTAGATTTGATCTGAGTGTCGAGCACTATAAATTACACAGCAAACATTCTGCTAGCTAAGCAAGACAAACAATAAAATGAATATTATGCAAATACTATTTCACTTTTCTATGCTGCCAGAACAAATCCTAACAGTACAGAGATTTAAAAGCAGAAAAATTCAGATAATACAAACATAAGTGGGGAGAAAAAGTTGTTCTATCACAGTAAATTAAAGAATTTTCAGATCTATTTATTATTTTCCATTTAAGGTCTGGGCAAAGTAAAATAACTATTTACAAAAAGATGGGAAGAAAAAAAGGGTTGAAGGTTTAAATCTTCTGTTCAGGGCAAAAGAAAGATTTTTAAGCAGCTTGATGAGGGTGCAAGACGAGTAATTTTATACTACTAATAGCTTCTGCTATTTTAATGTAGTGACAGCAAAGATTTCGAAGCAACACAGCTACAGGCACTGCACCAGTCCTATGGAGATGCTTAAAAAAAAAACAACCCAAGCCCCAGCTGAAAACACTGGTTCCGATCATTACAAATAGAGCGATGTAGTTCATGATATAGCACTAACCACGCCGCCACCAGTACAGAATCGCCAGGGAACCAGTACTTCGTCTTTCATTGGACAAAATGGTGACGCATCTTAAAAGCGAGACTCAAAATTTTTGAAGGCAACTGGAGACTCTGATTGCCAAATTCAGAACACTTGGTAAGGCTCTGAGTTAGCAAGAAAAACTGGACAGACTCTGAAATCAGGCCCTTTCAAAATAATACAGGCTGAGGACACCCAAAATTCCTAACCACACTTGCAAGCTACGGACAATATGCCCAGAAACATACCCTCCGGCTGCTTTCTGCAGGGCCTGAAAGGAGAGGGGTTTTCTCTACACACTCAGCTGAGATAAAAGGGAGCATTTGAAAGTGCAGCTTAACCAGTAAAGGCTGGTTGCAGTGCTCTTTGAAATGAGCGTTTGTTACCAAAACGGCAAGTTCATTATGAGTACGAAGTCTTTTCAGTCTGGTAAAAACCGTAGGTAAATAACTTGGCTAACCACCAATTTCCTGAGTGGTGTAGGCAGCAAGCTCATTAGTTTGTAGCTATAAATTATTCAGTTGCCCAAGTTTTGAGCATAAGAAGCCTAGCAGATCCTTTAATGTAAATCCTTTGCACCAAATTAATTTCCATTACTTCAGGTCAGGAAGGGAGACTCCAGAATTCATTACCACGTAACACAGTGTAACAGTCTGGAACAAAAAAAAAAAAAAGTCTTCACCCCAGAGCCCTAAGGGAGGTGTAACATCTACTTGCCTGGATATGCATTTTAATTACTGCTTTCCCAATCAGGGTTGCACCAAAGAAGGTCCAGAAGGGAACCAGAAAGTGTCCACATGTTATCCCGGCCAGGTCAAACAGAGGGTTTGGAATCTATGAAGTGCAAGGGAAAGAAGTTCATGAATTGCAGCACGCACTTAGTTGAACAGGAACACGACAGACTTTGAAACTTTGAAAAACCAACATTTTCCCCTTATTCAACTTGATCCAAAACTCTCGTGTCTTAATACTTACAAAAATGTTATTGTCACACCACATAAGTCTCTGGGATTCAGCTAGACAATGTCCCAGACAATTCCATTCTCCTGGTCCCTCCTTACCCCTGGATTTTAAAAAAGCTAACACAAAGTTTTCCATGTGAAATGCACAGAAACCACAGTAAAGCCATTTTGAGTGATTTATCAAATTTTCTCACTGACAAGCACATCGCTCGTGGAAGCCAGTGTTCAAAATGATCCCCAGCGACTTCCATCTGAGAAAGTACATTGAAAACTGGCATTTACAGTCATATGTATCCAGTTTAAAAGCACTGATTAGATTTTATTAAGCACATGCATTTCATTTAAAATTAAAAGATTTCTTTTTTTACTGTTAAACTGTTGGCTTGATGTTCGGTCTTGTGATACTATCTGTAAAATATTTTTTAAATTAAACCAAGAAAGTATCCAAATTCCAACCTTTCGCACTTAGCAGGCAGTACAAGGGCAGACTGTCTGAGTGAATGTGTGGGGTATGTGTAATTCACAGTAGCAGGGTATTACTGGGCTAATATCCTGTAGTATTTGTGTTGTTTTGCTACGCAAACAAGTAAATACTGTAGATTGTTAAAGACCATAAAAGATAGTAAGTTTGCAACTGACTGAACGGAAATCTGAAATCTGTGAGAAAGCTTATGAAGGTTATACTTCGCTGTTATAGACTAGCAATTCAAATTTATGAGCACCCACACCACCACCTGCATAGGAAGAAATCTGAAACGGTCTCTAATCATGCCCCGAAACGGTCTCTAAACATGCTCCACTTCAACTAAAATGATTCTTTACCTGTGACAGCTGTCTTAGGCATAGGAGGCTAGTAAATTATTTACTTATACCACAGCCAGATAATTTTGCTCTTCTGAGCCAAGTCTGCTCGAGGTCTCAAGTATGTTCTTTGTTGGTTGGTTTGAGTTTTTCTTAAGTCCACAGCACATTTTAATTACTGCATTACTGTCACCGTAGAGGGAGCAACACGCTTTAGGTATGGGTAACTATGGATATCATCAATACAGTAAACATGTAACAGTAAAAAGTTACTCAACAAGTCCACATGAGGGTAAATTAGCAGGCCAGCAAGGTTTTCTCTGTTTTTGAAAAAAACCCACACACATGCAGTACTGAGAGTTGCCAAAAAAGCCCACAAAGACAGGAGGGCAAATTCTCACAAGTCACAGCAAGGATCTTCCAGGGCTAATTCTTGCTTTGTTCCTTCCCCAGAGCTGCCTTTATGTAGGAATTAAGCTCCAGACAGTAATATGGCTTTCTTATTGCCACTAAACAACATTACATTCAGTTGACTTCACTGGATAAACTTGCAAAGTTTTAAATTCAATTTGATTGTGGTTTTATGTCGCATTTAGAAGCCACTGCTTGACAGACAACAACCTGCAGCTAATACAGTCATTACCACTTCACAAGCAAGTTCTCTCATCGTAAGAAATATTTCCAACTAAAATACAGTTTAAAATCCAAAAGTAAGATGACAATTATAAGGGGAGCAAGTAAAGGAGACCCCTTCTAGCATACGGAGAAGCAGCAACAAGCAAGAGAAACCCTAAAACAATGCCCTGAAGCTCGTGGGGGAACGCACAAATGCAAGGAGCACGCGTGGGGGGCTGCCTTGCTCACCTAGAGATGCAACAAAAATGTACAGCTTCGAACGTCTATGCTTTTTCAATGCCTCTACCACACTTAACCTCACCCTTTTTACAGCTACTCCGCAGTTATTCTGTAAACACATTTACAAATCCTCAAGCGTACAGTGGTGGATTCACAATTCCTCATCACTCCCCAACACAGGGCAGCCTATATAAGCACAAGGAAGCTGGAGCTCAGAGCGCATTGAAGAACAGCGCAACAAGTAGGTAAGAAGTTAAGCAAATGTTTAAGTATTACTCAGCA